TATCCTCCTTTCCGTCTGTGCAGAATATACTCTTCCTACTACCCTGGCCTTCCCATGACTTCTCTCTTCTCCTAAGGAGCCTGGCCTGGAACATCGCAGCCGTAAGGGCTAACCATATTAGCTTTATTTTCCCCCGATATAATCACGAGGATCGTGACAGAGATGCTCTACTTGCCGGTATTGACGAGTTCGAGCGTGTGCTCCACCGGAGTTTGGGACAAGGACGGTGGCCTGAGCTGTATTATAGTGGGAATAGGCTTGTGCTGTATCTACCTGACTTTCTGTTCCACTCCCCATCTGGGCACAGTGCCAAGATAAAGTCAAGAAAACCGGATCTGCCTCCTTGACCAGGGCTAAGATGAAACCATCGCCGTCTGACTCCCATTCCATTGGTCAGTCATTCAACACAAAACGCACACTGGACTGCTGACGTGGTCTGGTATAAAGCGTCAGTTGACAGTCTTCCCGGCCAGGGTAGACTGTTAGAGTCTCAGGCTCGGATCACGCTTTCTCGTCAAGGTATGTCCATGGGCCTAACACAGAGTACCATCAGAGCGAAGAATATTATGGAGATTAACGGGACAATTTCTGCCCTATTACCCATCGTCAGCCAAGTCTAGGGTCTGTATTGGTCCAACTCTCTACTATTGAGACATAAACGGGTTAGTCTGTCGTTTACGGTCGGAATTATTATCTTGCGTGGCATGTGCATTCATGCATTACGATACAGGGTATCCCCGTCCCTTCAGGCTTTGGTCCTCAAGCTACTTGCCCTAATAGCAGTGTTCGTATCTCTGTGGGTTAATTTCATGAGGAAAAACCCTGCCGCTGCAATCTTCAGGCCCGGTTTTTGTAGGAAGAAGAGGAGTGAGACGCCAGAAGGGGAGGAATAGTGTATTGTGTACAGAGGCAGTGAAGAAGAGGTAGGAGGAAGATGGCCACTGGATGAGTGTGTGCCCTGCCACAAGGGCTAACATCCGAAGTGTGAGAGCGTGAGAGTCGGCGGTCATGTGTGCGTCAGCCACAAGGAAACGATTAACCAGAGCGGATTGGGGTAGGCAGACACTCGTCCATGTGCTAGCAGCCGTGATAGGCAAGCGTT